GGCGATCACAGACTAATAAAGGGACTAAACCGAAAAGAAAATGAATGAAGAATGAATGAATAAATTAATAATAATAAAATAAAAATAAGGTAATAATAAACACAAATTCCGCGTAAGCGGCCTTTTTTTTTTAGAGATGGTACATTTGAATTGCCTCTTCCCACTTCCCCCACCTCGAAATTGAAAGTTGCAAAGAGAACTATAGCTCATTTACACCTTGATGCCTTAGCCTCAATAGCAAAGATAATAGCCCATTTACACATCAACACAGTGCAAGTTTAGCGGAAGAATGTCAAATCAGAATCACGCAGATGAAGCACACCAGCTACTGCTATGAAACTATTAAAATTGTTTTGTCATAAATTTGCTTATTTGCAGCAGCTTTTTTTCGCGCAACAGAAATGCGGCGTTGGGAAGCCGTCAATGAATAAAAACAGGGTCAATAGTGAAATCGGCTTTTCATTGTATCCCTATTACCTATTTCAGTGCATTGAAGGCCTTTTATGGTGTCATCTCGATAGAATAGCCTAAGTTATAAATAATTTAAAGAACAAAGTTATAAAAACTCACATTACATAAATAAACAATTAAAAATATGTTTAGGTTGTCTATTTAATTGCCCTCGTGATGATGGTGTGTTTTATCATTATGTGCGTTTTACTTATAACTAACCTGATTCAAATGATGGATCTGCGACAGAGAAACTAGGGGTTTTGGGGGACATGCATCACTATATCCTTTTTTTCTCCAAACTGTGCATAGTTCAGCTGCAAGTTACTGTACGTCTTTTTTTGGAAAAGCACCCCATGTCCGCTAGTGCCGCGCGCCTCTTTCTCTGGGCAAAAATGAGTTGATTTTTAAAGTGATAAATATATAGATTAATTAAATTTTCAGCAGAAGAGACATTTATTTTATATTTCACTATGCATTTCATCTGATCTTTATAGCTTAATTAAACACATATTGTCAAAACCCACACATAGGCCTATTGTATGAAAATGAAAAGGGCATTTTTTGTTATTATTAGACTACTATTTGTTATTTGTTGCCTAGGCTATTTTCACATTTGAGGTGCTTTATTGGCATGACAAGTAACTGTACATTTGTTTTGCCAAAGCAGTGCGCGTCTCACAAACAAGACAGTGCAAAAAGGGCAGTAGTGCAAACAAATATGAAAATAACATATAATAAAAAAATGATTAATAAAAATAAAAATAGAATAAAAAATAAAAATAGAATAATAAAAATAAAAATAGATTTTTGATAACATTAAACAGGATAAAGGTAATAATAGTAGCCTATTATCAAAAGTAAGTCCACATAAAGAGTTCCAGTATTTGTGTGTTGGAGACAGGAGCGGGTATTGTTGGGTGAACACACAGCAGCACACACACTCCCCCAGTAAGATGGGTTCTGTTCGACAGGGACTCAAAGTTGTTTTGTATGTGTTGGATTATCGGGTAGAATTTCTCCCGGATCTCGGAGTATTTAGTGCACTCAGTTAGGATATGCAGCTCCGTCTCAATCAGCTGCTGAGGGCACAGCCGCTTCTCCACCGGCAGCCATGTTTTTTTTTGTGCCGGCCCGTCTTTACGGCTAGCTGATGTCCGCTGCCCGCTTCTAACATGTTAGAAAATACTGCAAATCAAGCTGTCGGTATCTCCCCGCGGTTGAAATTGTTCGTTATTCGGAAAAAAAGAAGAATAAATATCAGCGCGCAGTAGTTGCTTTCTAGATTATTTAGGCCTATATTCAGCTGTTTTAATCTTGCAATTCTGATAATTAGAGATAATGTCTGTTTTTATCAACTTGTCTGTCATTTATTTCTCATTTGCTACTTTTTTTATTAATTTGTTGATGTTAATATACTACATAGTCTTGTATATGCATATCTAAAATCCTTTGGCATTCAAATTTGCTTTGAACTTGAAAGAGAGAAAGAATCGGATTTTACCTGTCAGAGCACATTGCATATGCTTTTTTTGAAATAACATTTATTTAACAAATATTTTAGCACATTGAAAGTAATTAAATTACCTGTCTTTTGATTAAAACCTTTATGCAAAAAGATCAGAAAAAAAGGCAATATGCGACACATGCATCGCTCTCATGCCACGTTTTGAGGATAAACTCGCATTTAGGTGCTGCTTTAAATAAAATAAAACTATTAAAAAGCACATTAAAGACTACTCATAAAATAAAACATTCATAAAGGAGTATCTTATGAAAAAACACCAATTGACGGGCTCTGCTTTCGGTTTTAAAAGAATCAAGCAGCTTTAAAAATATAATTTGCTGAAGAGAAATGACAGGAAAAAAAAGATTGAACATATCGGGACTGTCAAAAGAACATTCCTCTTTGATATATTCTTTCGACTCCGACACATCAGCTAAGATTATGAACGACGGAGTGTCTCTCCTGCTTCAGTGGCGTGTCCAGCTGGTTATAAACGAGGAGGCGGAGAGAATGCGCTGCTTAGTTTCGGCTCGATATATTTAAATAAAAACTAACGAGTTGCTTATAACGCTCAAAAAGTTAAACTTAAATGCACAACCCTTGTTGGTTGCACCTGCGGGATGCACAATGAACCTAACGCGCCATTATTTTAATTCTATATTCGTGAAGAATGAGCCAACCGCATATGCTTAGTCCTGTTGGTCGGGACGCTTTATAACTTATTAGTTTATTACAATAATCACACTTAGCTTTGCCATTGTTCTTCACCACATAGCCACTCAACACATCTTGCGGTCCATCTTTAATGTTTAGATTATTGAAGGTGCTATTGACGTTTTGAGAAAAAAATTAATAGTACTGAAACTAAATTATTAAAAATAAACTTGCGGGACTTCATTTATGTCCTGCGGCAACATTATTTTTATTACACTTTAAGTGATCTGCTTGAGGTAGGTCACGTTTATCAATGGTAAGTTTTAGCCTAAGTTTACATCAATAACATAATGTGCATTGTCCTTTACCATACAAAAAAAAAAAAAAAACATTATTATACACCAGTTGCCTGTAGCCTATAAAAAGGCCGCAAATATTTTTAAATGCATTAAAAGGCAAGCACATATCTTAGCCTTAGTTTGTTCACACTCTGCCTGTATTAACATAAATGCTGTATTTTAATATAGCTAATTTTGATTAGCTTTAACTGACAGCCTTTTCTTCTTTTTCCGCGGTTATGCGGCATTATATTTCACACGCATATGCAAGGTGACTGAATATGAAATTAAAATACAAAACATACTGAGCCATTAAGTAAAAAAACAAAACAAAACAACAGTTATACTTTAAAGCAGAACATTGACGTTTTGAAACAAAAAAACGGAACTGAAACTAAATTATTAAAAATAAACCTGCCAGACTTAATTTATGTCCTATTTTCATTATTCATTTATTTTCATTATTCGTTTATTATTATGTACTATAATTGAAACATAAAATGAGATCGTAAATATAATCAACAACGAAAATGTAAATAAAAACGTAAATTAAAAATATAAATGAACATGTCTAGTCTTAGTTCTATCAAAATAGCCAACACTACATCTCTCTATATTTAGACTAAAAGACTGCTTTATTTATTTATTTATTTATTTAAGACTAATTATTTGTACTGAATGTTTGTGCTTTCATTTTAGTTGTCTTTCATTTCTTCAATTCTATTTTCCAAAACGAATCCTCTTTGCACTTAACAAGTTTACAATAAACCAGGTAAAAAAAAATTAAATGTAAGTTGAGGTGATCGCAAGTTCACAACTGTGAGGTGATGTGCTCTACCGGCAGGATAATCTATATTATTTTGCTGTTTTTCATATGCGCACGTTTAAGATTTGAGATTATAACATTGCCATGACAGTCAAAGAAATCAAAACATTATTTTCACCCCAACGCAATTTAATCGGGCACTGAAGGCTAATAACTTAATTCTTATATTTGCTTTTTGACTTCTCACCATGTACCTTTTCTACAGCATAGTATAGTGTAAGAGCATGTCTATTACCAGAAAAACTAAATTAAAATTATATTTTAATTGAACACATCACATCACATACAGTAAGCTACGCCTACAGAACAGTCTGTTTAGCATTGTGAAAAGGCAAAGCTGAATATCTGTGGTTAAAGTGCCACCCAGCGGTCAAATGCTGCTGGCGCATCAAGTACCGCCGTCGCCGCGGCATGAATGGCGGCACAAGGAACACATTGAAGTAGTAACATCTGTAGCTGCCCGTGTAGCTGCACCTTCTGGTACCCTTTCATGTGTTTTGTACCCTTTCAAAAAGGTGCCGAAAAAGTTGTACCATACCGTACCGTACCACTCAGTGGAAACGGGGCATAATATTAGCTGCTTCTACATTATCAGGATGACAAAGATGAAACAAGGGTGGACATTTTAGCAAGACAATGATCCAAAACACAGCCCAGGGAACTCCCAAAATCTTTCAGAGAAACAAAATCAAGCTGTAGAATGGCTCAGCCAATAACCTGACTTGAGTAAAATATAAAAATGTAAATCAAAGATCAGGTTTTACAGATGAGACCCACAGAACTATCAAGAATTTAACACTCTGTTGAAGTCTGGAAGTTTATTTCACTGTGGTGACCCCAGATTAATAAAGGGATTAAGCCGAAAAGAAAATGATTGAATAATGAATGAATTTAGTCCAGTGATGGCAAATCAGAATTACTGACCCCAAGCTTAAAAAAGTGTATTTCACTTGTATTAAAAATAATAATTAATACTGAAGAAAACTATTTATTCAAGTACTAAAAAAATAGAGAAAAAAAGTTAAAAAAGTAATTTTTTATAGTTGTAATGGTAATTGGCTGTGAGGTGTGCTTGAAAACAGTTGGAAAAAGCTTTTATGGTGCACAAAATGGTAAAAAATGTACCTTTCTTCATTCTTTTTTATTTTTGGAGGAAATGTGATGCATTTTTTGTTTAATTCACCCACATTTTCACTTTATAAGGATTTTGTGTTTTCTTTTTCAGCTGACAGGTATGTGTTGGGAGAAGTTGATTCATGGTTCCGTGCGGCAGACTGGACCAGAGAGGAAAGACGTTCTGTCTCATCTGAAAGCGACTGTTAACGTAAAGCGAGTGAGGCCTCCTGTGATATGAACATTTGAAACAGGAAAGGTATCTTGCGCTGAGTACCTGGGTGACCTCTCTGGTTGTCCACGTCTGCCTGATAAACACCACTAATGACTTACTCATTTGTTTTATTTTTTTATTTAAACCCCAGTGAGCTAGTGCTGGGTGGCTCTGTGGATTTCTACTAAATTATTGTTCTTGAAGTCTCAACACTGGTCTTAAAATGACAGCACGTCTCATGACCTCAGTGTCACAATTAAAAACCTTTTTCAGCTTTGATGGAAAGACTGGATGCTAATGACCTCATCCCATGTCCCCCGCCCCCCTCCTGCACCCCATGTGAAGCATTTTATTTGGTTGAAGAAGATGCACGTTGGGGGAAAAAACAGAAGTGTCTGTTTTTGAAATGTTCAGGTAATTCAGAGAAAGTCATTTTTGCTTCATGTGCAGGCTGTTTTAAGATAATATTTGTGAATAGGGCTTTGTGGAATCTAAACAGGAGCATTAGTAATGTGTGCAGGTATATGTGTATGTTAAGAAAGAATGTTACCATTAGAAATTAAAAAGGCTGACTGAGTTTTCAAAAAATAAAACCTGTTAAGCAATTTAAAAATTTTTTTATTTCTGTCAGTGGAAATCTCATGTGCTGACACACACACACACACACACACACACACACACACACACACACACACACACACACACACACACACACACACACACACACACACACACACACACACACACAGGGTGGGCCATCTATATGGATACACCCTAATAAAATGGGAATGGTTGGTGATATTAACATCCTGTTTGTGGCACATTAGTATATGTGAGGGGGCAAACTTTTCAAGATGGGTGACTCCACATTTTGAAGTCAGCCATCTTGGATCCAACTTTAGTTTTTTCATTAGGAAGAGTGTCATTTGACACATCAAACTTATTGGGAATTTCACAAGAAAAACAATGGTGTGCAAAACAAAAACGATTGGTTTTAACGTAACTTTATTCTTTCATGAGTTATTTACAAGTTTCTGACCACTTACAGTATAAAATGTGTTTAATGTGCTGCCCATTGTGTTGGATCATCAATGCAACCCTCTTCTACAACTATTCACACACTGATGGCAACACTGCAGGAGAAATGCCAGCACAGGCTTCCAGTATCCGTAGTTTCAGGTGTTGCACATCTAGTATCTTCACACTATAGACAATGGCATTCAGATGACCCCAATGATAAAAGTCTAAGGGGGTCGGATCAGGAGACCTAAGGTGCCATTTAACTGGCCCACGACGACCAATCTACTTTTTAGAAAACTGTTCATCTAGGAATGCTTAGACCTGACACTTACAATGTGGTGGTACACAATCTTGCTGGAAAAACTCGTAACGTTCCAGCTTCAGTGCATGAAGAGGGAAACACATCAATTTCAAATATCCAGTGGCGTTGAGGTTTCCATTAGCCACGTTTCCACTCCCACGGCTAAAGCCTGAGCGGGCCAAACCAGGGCTTCCTCTGAGCCAGCGGCTGGCCTTTTTTTGCCCGCCGAATACCTTGGCCAAAAAGGGCCAGCTGGGGCTTCAGGATGGAGTGAAAAGAGAGGCGGACTTTGCCCGAGTCTGTTAGAGATGGCATGCTGTCATTACACTAGTTTTCTGATCCCACACGAGTACATGCGGGCAAACATATAAATAAATAAGGGAAAGAAAACATATAGCTGGTCAGTTAAAGATAGGCTATTCTATGAAAAACCTTATAGGCTAAGGTTTTTTCTTTTTGTTTATAATCGCCCTTATGTTTCCCTTTTAAATGTAAGGCTGTTGCATAAAATAATAAAGTTTTAATTTATGAGTGACTTTTCTTTGCTGCGTCCTCCTTGATGTTTCAATAACGCATAATAATCTCTTAACAATATTAAACACACAGCAGCCAGTAAAGGTTGTCGAGAGTTTTTGCCAAGTTTAAAAACTGTTTGTGCATGATTTGTGCGCATTAGATGCCTGTATGTGTGTGAGAGGCCGCTTGCTTGACAGCTCTGTTGATGCCACAAGCGGCATACACAATATGTATACAACAGAAAGACATAAAACTTTCCAACTGATGTGTCCACTTTTGTAGGCTCAAAACAATACTGTCATATTACAATAAAACAGCCTAATAATTTAAAGAATTATAAATATCGGATATAATAAAATCACTTTAAATAAATAAACCAACATAAAACAAATAAAAGCTAGCTATAACAATGTAGGCATATACAAAACATAAATTAACCCGTTTTTAGGCCAGATATAACTTTCATTTTACAAAGGCCTCTCTGAAAAACGATTTTAGATATTTTATAAAAAACAATAAACACTGGAGGAGGTTAAAAATATTATTTATAAAGTATTTGTATACAATGAGATTAATCAAATCGTGCAAACAGAGCATTTTTGAGGTGAGTGAAAGCAAAAACGACCTTCTGTCCTGCGCAGCACCTCTTTACAAACATATTGGGTAAAACTGCAAATACAAAATGTGTTCTATATCCTTAAACAAATGTTTATGTTTATAACGTGGTAAATTTTTTTTTTTTTTTTGAACAATCTTTTTATTGAGATGTAATAAAAATATGACAATATAACATCACAATCATATTTTACATCTTTTTTTTCAATTTAGAGGAAAAAATAAAACAATAAAATAAAAAATAAATAATAAAAAGCATACAACAACAAAAAAAAAGCATAAAAAAGAAATAAAAAGGAAATGAGTAAAAAAAGGGGTGGGGGGCACAGGGTGTTTGAGTTAGTAACAGATTATTCTAGATACAACAATTGGAAGAAGTTGTTGAAAATACAAATAATCTATAGAAGGCATGAACCAGATCATGTGATGGTTTGTTTAAATAATTCTTTGAAAATAGGGGGAATATTTAGATATGCTTAGTCAATGTCAGTTTATTTCGTCTTTTCCTGTTCCATTTAATAAATTTCTGAAATTTGAATTTGAAATAAGATACATAAAGGGTGCCCACATTTTCTCAAAAACAGTAAGTTTGCCTTTTAACATGTATGAAATCTTTTCCATAGCTAAACAGAAGGACATATTATTGATCCACTGTACAATAGATGGCCTTTCCATTTTCCTCCAGTACAAAGCTATTAGACGTTTTGCTTGGAGTATACTTATATCGATAAGTTTACGGGTGCTGCTGTGGCAATCAATATTTTCATAAAAAATTCCCAAAATAAACATTTCCGGTTTCATGGGCAGTTTTACAGATACCATTTCAAAAATGAAACTAGCCACCTCTTTCCAAAATTCCTGTACCTTTGGGCAATCCCACATACAGTGTAAAAGTGTACCTTTTTCAACTGAGTATTTAATGCATGTGTCTGGGATACTTTGGTTAATTTTATTTAACCTGACTGGAGTGATATATGTTCTCCTAATCCAGTTGTACTGTATTAATTTAAGATTACTATTAAATGTTAATGTTTGAGCTTTTGTACATATTTCCTCCCATTCATCCAGTGGAATGTTTACATTTAATTCTTCTCTCCAGGAAGCCAATTTAAATTCTGATGATTCTGTCGAGCATGATTCTAACATCTTATAGAACATAGATACTAAACCTTTTGATTGAGCAGGTTTTGATAACAGGTCTTCAAGAGGTGTTTTGTTAGGTTTTGTAAGCTTTGCACCTTGATGAATATAGCTCCTTAACTGAAGGAATTTAAAGAAATGTTTTTTGGGAATATCAAATTGTGTTACAATTTCTGCAAAAGACATTAGATCGTTATTTTTATATAAATCTTAAATTTTTTGCAGCCCTTTGTCAAACCACATTTTAAACCCTGGGTCAGATCTAGCTGGTTTAAAACACTTGTTTCCCCATATTGGAGTAAGGCATGATAAGGTATTGCACTGACCTACATACTTATTCACATCATACCAGACATTAATTGTATTAATTAGACTAGGGTTAGAAGATATAATATTTTTGTCTTTTCTGAGAGATTTAATTTCTGCTCAGTAAAGATAGAGATAAAAGGGTAATTTAGATTTTATAAAAGAGGATTCAATATCCATCCAAGGAGTAGAAGATTTAGAGGAGAAATAGTATAAAGTAGATCGTAACTGTGTTGCCCAGTAGTACCATTGTAGATTGGGAAAGTGGAGACCACCTTTATTATAAGGTAAGTATAAAAGTGATAACCTTATACGAGCTCTTTTATTGTTCCAGATGAAATCCGTAAATAATTTCCAAAGGGTTGTAAAAAAAGAAGACGGAGGGCTGAGAGGGATATTTTGAAACAAATATAATATCTTAGGTAGTATGCTAATTTTTATAATGTTTATACGTCCAATTAGCGAGATAGGAAGCTTTTTCCATCTTTCAATAAGTTTAGAAATGGTGTCCAAAAGGGGTTGGTAATTAGTCAAAGATATATTATCTATGTTAGCCATTTTAATTCCTAAATAAGTAAAAGAATCCACCGCATTAAATTGTGTCACGGCTGGGATATGATTATCATCTTTGTTTAGCAAAAGAATACAAGATTTAGATTGGTTTATTTTGTAACCAGAAAACTAACCAAAGTCAGTAAGAAGTTGTATTAGAGAGGGAACCGAATCGGACAGACTTGTCAGGTATAAAATTACATCATCTGCATACAACAAAATTTTCAAATCTATAGTGTCTAGTTTGATTCCAAGTATATTGCCATGGCACCTTATTGCGATGGCCAGTGGTTCGATTGCTAAGATAAAAAGAAGGGGTGAAAGGGGGCATCCCTGACGAGTACCTAAAGGTTTAGAGGCAATATTATTAGTGAGCACTTCAGCCGTAGGATGCATATAGAGCAACTTAATCCATTGACAAAAATTATCACCAAGTTCAAATCTTTAAAGGACCTCAAATAGATACGGCCACTCTACCCTGTCAAAAGCCTTATCAGCATCTAAGGACAGAATGGCCGTATCGCAAGCCCCCTTTTTAAGATGCAAAACATTAAGCAAAGTTCTGACGTTGTGAAAACCTTGCCTGCCCTTGATGAATCCATTTTGGTCTCTATGTATTATCTCAGGTAGAAGTGTCACCAACCTCCTTGCTATAATTTTACTTAGTATTTTGACATCTGTATTAAGTAATGAAATTGGACGAAATGAGTCGCGTTTTGTAATTAATTTATTAGGTTTAGGTATTAGCGTAATGAGAGCATGTCTTAAAGATTCTGGGAGTATACCATTTGTAAAGGATTCTTTAAGCATCTAAAATGGGACTGGTGAGTTGTTTTTTAAATTTCTTGTAAAAATCCACATTAAGGCCATCTGGTCCTGGTGTTCGACCTGCTGTTAAACTGTCAATAGCTTCTATTATTTCTTCTTCTGTTATGTCCATGTCTAATGATCTTTTTGTCTCTTCAGAAATATTAGGTATAGATAAACTATTTAGAAATTCTATTTGTGTACTATTATCTGCATATTCAGAGGAATATAAAGTTTCAAAAAAGCATTTAAAAGTGTCATTTATTTTAATAGGGTCTACCATAATATTACCACAATTATCTTCAATGGAATTTATTGTTCTTTCAGATTGCTTCTGTTTAATTCTCCAAGCTAAC